AAGAAGCTGGTTGAAATGTTCAGAGCACTAAAGAACTTCTTTGTATTTGTTGTCACGAAGTCAGGTATCTCCTTTTCTCCTATATCTTGGTCTAATAGAGAGATGCGTTTGGCTGGTTCTTGTACTCCAGGGTTGTCCAACGCCTTGACCATCTTTCTCTTGTCTTCAACAGAAATGGAATCGTCAAAAAAAGAAAAGCCTACGAGTACTTCCGACAAGTACCAAAGGTGTCCTTTTAACTTCTTCAAGGCAGCAAGCGATGTACAGTTTCCAGAAGCTAACAATTCCTTACAGAGCAGAAGGTCGTTCTTTGGAGCTGAGATTCCAAGACGAGAAGAAAACCAGCCTCTTATGTAGAACTTCACTGCAAACACACAGAGATCCTTGAGTCCATTGAGCTCACAGTCAGTAAGATGAAATCCACTGTTTCTGAAGATAAATATCTTCATGCTGTAAATGAGACGTGACATGAATCTGGCTCTGTGCATCGCTCCTGGTTTCATGAATCTGACACCTCTCGGAGGAACGCCTCCCAAGAAAATAATTGTTATTTCAAGGAGCTCTCTGTAATCGTCTCTGGGGTGTTCCGTGTGTAGCTGCTCAGTGGCATAGGAAAGAGTCCTCTGCCTGGTTTCCGAATCAAGTTGAGCCATTACAGCGTCATCCTGGATCCCTGCATGAAAGTCAGCAGTTTGAATGTTTGGCCAGAACTGTTTAAACCTCTTGAATAATTGTATCTCGGGTGATGATGAAGGGCTGATGCATAAGGAAAACACTTCCTCGAGCATAATCTCATGGATGTGGTGGCGGCATGCTAAGTACAGTACATCATGGCCGAGTTTTCCTTCCAGAAGAACACACGCTCCATTACGTCGCCCAGTGTTAGCCGCTGTTGTGTCAAAACTAAAGGCCTTAATATCGTCTTTGATCTTCCAATCATCAATTATCTGGACAATGGCGTCGCATATGGCATGTTCTGTTCCCGATGAAAGCTTAGGAACAGCTAGAAGCTGGTCAACACCATCAGAAGAAACAACAATCGGCAATCTGTCTACTTTTTCATCTCCTGTCAAATCCTTCATCAGCTTTCCATCCCAGTGGATAGTTAGAGGCTTTCCGTGACTTTGAAACTCTACTTTCAGTTCCTTTGATCTCAGTTCTCGATGCTTCAGCCGGTACCTGCGAACGGAAGATCGGTTCACAGCAAATTCTGCCGCGTTCTGGCCTGTTGCAGAAATAACGGATGCCACAGTGTGAACAGCATGCCTGTCACTGATCCCAGCTCTGTCAAGGGAACCAAGAACTTCCGGTGTAAGGATGTTTTTTCTCTCGCGTTTTCGAAGGCATGGATTTGGACTGGTAAGGCTTGATGTCGAAGGTCCTGAGAAATCTGCATCCTGTGATTCGTCGGAGGAGGTGTCTTCCAGCACAGCCGTGTCAAACATTTTCCTTTTCGCTTCCTCACTAGCATCTTTTCTCTTCTTCATTTGGTTATCTCGTTTTTCTTTCTCCTTTTCCTTATTCTCCAAGTTCTTGTCCAATCCTGCCATAGATCCTCGCCTACCAGGTTCCCGTTGAGCAAGCAAAAATTGCTTATCTTCTTCAATGTTTATCATTTGAAGAGCATCGCCATGAGAAATATCAAACAGATTCGGAAACTCAACAATAAAAGCTTCTTCATTCCTCTTCTGTGTTTCAGTTTTTCTGTTTTTGTTTTTCTTAAGGTTATCCCAAGTCAGAACCAAATCTTCCAACTTCTTTATTGCTCTTCGTTCATCCCGGACTGGTATTCTTGCACGGCTCCAGTACGTGAAGAGTTGTCGAATTGTTTCTTTGGCAGCTGAATGCTTCGTTTCTTCAACGACCTTCAGATGGTAAAAAAACACACCAAGGACGTCCTGTATTGATGGCAATTTAGCGCCTGTAAACTCTTCTTTCACTGTCCCAAGTAAATATATCTCAGACTGCTTCCTTGTCGATACTGCCATGGCAACTTTATTAATTAATTTCTATAACACAAATAAAAAACACATGTTCACAAGCAACTAGTGTAGACAAAAGCACGTTAAAGTAAGCAACAAAGGAGATCAGGCTAAAACAAACCCTGCCACAGTCGGGTGGTCCTTACGGTGAGGGTGGGTCCTGGGTTAGGGTTACGGTCGGGTGGTCCTGTACGGACCACAGTACGGTGGTCCTTATTTCATACTTTTGGCATTATGGCGTGGCTGGACAGCTCGGGCACATACACCAAAATTCCGGGTCATTGAGCATACCCTAAATATTATTTAATTGTAAAAATCTTTCAGGGTATTTTGTTTTTGAACAATTGGATCCCTCCTAGGGGGCGCCCGTATTAAAATTCAAAAGTTGTAAAATAAGGACCACCCTAATATATATATATATATATATATATATATATATATATATAAATCTGGATCTATATAAATATCTATATATATATATTTGTACTATATCTGTAACATGTTTTAAAAAAATTACCTTTATCGCAGGCAAATAAAAAGAAGTTAGATCTTAAACGCGTAACGTTTTTGCGATCTTGAGCAGTCTTAATATATTTAATTATAATATATTTATTATATAAAACAAATAGTAATTCCTAAAAGTGTAGTCCTAAGAATTTTTAAACAGTTTTACAGCTAATAAGCCGTTTTAAAGATTAATAACATTAAGTGTTTTAAAGACATCTACATTTAGATAACTAAAAGGTATTTTAGTAGTAGACGACTTTAAGATTACTGATAAAAAACCTCTTAATGACACGTGATAGGCAGATGTCTTACAGATAACGAATACAAGCTGTCTCAATGATATCCGAATTTAGACGGCTATAAGATGTTATCATCGAGTCTAAAAGAGATCAGAACTTAGCCGTGTACAATGCGTAACAATCTCGCTATATTTTAGATTATTTGAATAAGATATCTCAAATCCAACGGCAGTTAGACGTCTAAAAGGTATTAACATTTAGGATGCCTTTTAGATTTAATTTAGACGCCGGTGTAAGACGTTAATTAGACGTTCAAATACAATTTTGTGCTGGCTGGGAAGTACTACAACGTTTTACAATTTTCCATTTAATTAAGGGTGTAAACATCTTGTCTTTTATGTCCCATATTTCTTTAGACAACTCGGTATCATTTTTATATTTATTAATGTTGAAAGATTTTAGGTGATTTGCATACCGAGATTTGAATGGAGTTTCACATAAGCCAAAATATACTTTTTCTTTGTAGTCAGGTTTATTTGACGACACAGTGGCTTGATAAACGATGTTTTTGTCAAGCATAGATTGTTCATGGGACAGATAGATTTGTTGACACAGTTGCATATTTTTCCCTCATCTTTATCTTGGCTATATAATATCCTGTGCTTGTGCGAATTAATGATCGACTTGATATTTGGCAAACATTAGTAGCTTACTTTAATGGTATTTCGATTAAGTATTTCACGAAGTTTGTGACCAACCGGAAAGTGCAGGTCTACAAGGTTCAAAAAACAACTGCCTATTTTTGTTGCAACATTGCCGTATAGGCATGAAATTTAAAGTACCATAGAAAAAGTTTTTCTTCAATAATATATATATATATATATATATATATATATATATATATATATATATATATATATATATATATATATATATATATATATATATATATATATATATATGTATATCGCTTTACTTGAAATATGTTGTTAATATTGAGCACTCTTTTTCGACTATGAGTTTTGTAATACAACTATGAGTACTATAATACAAAACAACCGTAAATATCAATATCAATATACCGTAAAAACCCCTAATTCCGGATGGTTTAGGACTAATATTGTCATAACTAGCTCAATATAAAGAATTTTGAAATAATTTTTTAAAATAAATAAACTTCGTAACAATACAAATCGAACGATATAAAAAATATTATTTTTAAGATATAAATCTATCTTTTATTTTATTTTTAAAAAATATTGTTTTTATCCGGAATTAGGTGTTTATGTCCCTAATTCCGGATGCGTATAGAATACAGAAAAACACATACACAAATAATACTAACATTAAAATAATTATTTTAATGTTCGTATTATTTGTGTTATTTAAATGAAATCATTTAATAAAAAAAGAATATATATTATTTTACACACATTCGTTACAAATAAACTCCATGGCTGGACAATAATCAAAGACACATTCAATGCATGACCAATTTAAACACTGCTCACACGCAAGCCATTGGTTATCTAAGTTATTTGTCCAATTAATTTCGCAAGAATAACATAGAAGATTATCAGATACTAAAATGTTATTTGAAGCTTGAGGAAAATGAGGGTCTTCTAATCCATTCTTTGTCTTTATACCTTTTTTACCTGGTATTTTAGACGACTGACTTTGTCTCAACTTTTTTTTTTTCTTCTCTTTTCTGTGCATTTTTCGCTTTTTGAGTAGCAGTGGAAATCTTTTTTTGTTCTCTAGTAAATTTCTTTGCAGCTTGTTCATCTAATTTTTGCTTTTTTAATGCTTGTTCAGCTTCATCGTAAGCTATGGCATCCGCCGAAGTCATATTATAATTAGCTGGTCGCTTTATTCTCTCACTTTTTTGAACTCTTTTATTTAGAGTTGGTGTCAATTGATCTCGAAGCATATTTAACACTGATTTGTTTATATCTTTGCCCACTTGTTGAACAGCGTTATTCAAAGTAGCAAAGCTTTTAAGCAAAAATTCACGATTTGACATTCTTGACGGTGTGTTAGGTGTATTGGTAATATTTCCCATAACTAATGGACTAGATACTGTTGAAGAATCAAATAAATATTCAATATTGTTGTTTTCGACAGCTTGAAACACAGCACCAATGGAAGTTTTTTTTGAAGAAATTTGCGAACGATCGAGTGAAAATATACCAGTATTTTTGAAACCACTCCGTGCATTTTCAGGTTTAAACCCACCATTTTCGATGAGATCCTTAAACATGGCCGGAAAATGTCAATTAGTTAGGCTTTGAAAGTGATTTTTAGTCAAATAACTTTCGACAATTCTCTTCCATGCGCCTTTTACTGTTTTAAAAACGCCAACATCTAGTGGCTGTAAAAAATGGTTGGTATGAGCCGGCAAACGCCAAAGTAAAATATAATTTTCTAAAGCTTTTTTTTTCAACTCTAAGCTCATATGTGAAGCATGGCCATCAAGTATTAGAACTTTAAATCCTGAAAGTTTGTTTGCGTGAGGCAAAAAAACTGTTTCAAACCACGACAAAAAATGTTCGGATTCCATCCAGCCTGAACTACTACTGTTATAATAAACATTCTGGGCACCGCCTTTGCACCAGTCTTTCATAACATGTTTGCCTTTATAAATTATTTGATGAGGTAAATAATTACCGAATGCGTCACAACAAGTCAAGATTGTCGTCATTTGCTTTTCATTCGATGGTGCTAGCTTTTTAGGGTTTTTTGTTCCTTTTCTACAAATAATTTTGACTTTGCCTTGATCAAATTGCAAACCAGATTCATCACAGTTAAATATTTGAAACGGCTTATCGCCTAAATTATGTACATTATATGCTACTGCTAATTGCTCAAACCAATTGTCAATTATAGCTGGTTGTGTGGCCACAGCTCTAATAGTTTGCATACCGCTTACTTTCCTTGGGCAAATTTCTTTACGATATTTATTCATGAAACCGGAGTACCATTTTCTAGTCGGTTTGCCGTCTTTGAATAGACTACGTTGGTTTGATTCTTTTAAATAGTTTTCAACAACAATAAACACGTCTTTTCTATTCAAGCCGAAACCTATATCACTCATAAATTTTAATAAATCAACAATAATAGCTTCAGTGATGTTGCTCATCTTTCTTGGCGCTCCTCGATTATTAGATGACCCTTTTGTTCTGTCAAAAAGTGTAGATTTTGCCACATTATAACACTTAGCAGCTTGTACGTATGACATTTTTTTTTCAGTAATAGCTTGAATAGCTAGCTGGATTCGACTCTCTCGCTCTTCTTTTTGTTTAAAATTATCCATATTCTTTTATACAGTAATACAATTAACACAAATGCGTTAACTTTATGGATGCTAAAAAAAATAGCTTTATCTCAATTATTTTTCGAAGTTTGGAAAAGGAATTTGAAAAAGTATGAAGATTCTGGTGTGAAACGTTGTTTTAACCTTGCGATTGTGGAGATGGTTTCAGAGGATCATCTCCAAAAATTATTGGAACCTTTGAAACTCGAAGAAGAAGATTTTAGTTTAGCATTTGATTTAAAATGTGCAAACAGTGTTTTTGGACTTTCAAGTCATTCTGGCAAATATGCTTGTCTTTATTGTGAAGGAGAATGCTCCCTCAAAGCAGGGAAACTAAGAACATTGGGTTCCATAGACTTATGTTATGATCAATATGTATATGAAGGAAAAAAAAGACTAAAAATGCAGGATTACAAAAATGTTATAAATCCTCGTTTAATATACTTAAAAGAAAATCAAAAAACAATTCTTGAACACATTGTTCCTCCTCCTGAGCTCCATATTATGATGGGAGTTGTCGATAAACTCTGTACTATGCTTTTATGCGTTTGACCACCTTTTCAAAATTGGTTAAAAACACATTACATATTAATGAGAGGATACCATGGAGTAGGTTTAGATGGAAAAAATGCTAATAAATTTCTGTCCTTGTTAGATGTTTTGAAGAGAGGGATGTTACCTTAACTGCAACGATTGATATTTTACCAATAATTAATTGTTTGCGTAAGGTTTCATTAGTAAAATCAGCAGTGTTTGGTTTAGAAATGGGTGCAGATATTTCTGCTAAAATCGAAGACTTCAAATGTTCTTTTTCAAGTCTCCAATTATATGCAAAAGATATTTTTGACTGTGATTTGAAAGTTTCCTGGAAAATACATATTTTAGTGTGTCATATTCTTCCCTTTATAGAACACAATAATATTAGCTTTGGAAACTATGCAGAACAATGTGGTGAAGCTGTTCACCACAAATTTAAAAAAACTTGGGTGAACTATAAAAGAACTATAGGTCACAAAAATTATGGAAAAAAGCTAAAATCTGCTGTAGTTAATTTTAATTTAAATAATCAGTAGCATTAATATAATATGTGTTATATATTTATTTGTTTTTGTGTTTTTTGTAAACGAAGTTTATAAATGTTGATGGTTTATTTTGACTACCATAATGGCTGACTTTAATCAAAAAGCGAAAAATTATAAGTTATAATTTTGAAAAATATGTACTTAGCACTTAGTTCAGATTTTTCTGACAATTTAAATTGTATTTACAAATGCATATGATTAATTAAATGCAAAAAAATCAGGAGTGGGGAGAGTTTTAACCTGGCGGTCAATTTGGAAAACAGTGAAGTTCGAACACCAGTGGAATGGATATTTGGTGATATAGTCAACTACTTTTCATTTTTAGACTATAAAACGAACTTAAAATTAGGACTTAGTTTTGTTGGTAAAATGTATATCACGTGTGCATTGTTGAGAAATGAAAAGACATGCTGTTATAAATGTACTACTTTAACTTATTTTGGGTTAGATCCACATTCTTTAGAAAATTATTTTCAAAAACAATAAACTATTTAATTCAAATTTTTTTTTCTTTATTATTGTTATATCTTAAAAGATTCTTTACATTATTATAATCATATATTATTTCATTCAAAAACCTTTTTAATGTTATTAATCTATTTTATGTTAGGAGCAATTTTTGTAAATCTCAACCTGTAGTGAAATTTGTTAACATTTGTGTAACAAGAAAGTAATTTAAGTTGTAATTAATCAAATTAAAAATTAATTAAAAATAATTTAACCCTATTAAAAAAAACACATATGAATCAAACATAATTTTATTGTTAGCATTATTATTGAACAATATTATTTTTAACATAATGTGTGTATATATATATATATATATATATATATATATATATATATATATATATATATATATATATATATATATATATATATATATATATATATATTTATATATACACATTATGTTAAAACTACTTCGTTATGTTAAAACTACTAAAAATACATTCCTTTTCCAACACAACTTTGACTATTGGACATCATGTTTTAAGAAAATAACTCACGTGGCAGAGACAACTTCAAAAACTGAAATTTGAAGTCGACCAAAAAAATCAGAGCGCGAAATAGGGTTTTCCACAACAAACATTTGCAAAGAATTCCGTCTTAAAGCTCTCCCGTCGTTGTTGCGTAAAGTGCCTATTAAATGTTTGGCTGACAGCAAAAGAAGCAGAAGATAAATATTCAAAAATTGAATTAGACTTTAGGAAGCAAGTTATCAGAGTTCAATTAGATTTTTATCTTTATGTAATGGGTGAAACATGTTTATTGAAGCTGTTTTATAAAGCCATGTTTATGGAAATAAACTTATTGATTTAACTTTGAAAGAGTTAATGGAGAACCTGATCATCGTCATTCGCACATGCAGTTTTCCTCTTCCCAGAGCAAATAAACAATACATCAAAAGAAAAAAAACCAACGCAACAACTTAACAGTCTACCAGAGGATGTATAAGTTCACCATTAAAAAGCGACAAAGAAATATCTCCGATTTTGTTGAAAAGGTATACTTTGCCTATTTTGTTATAAAGTCAGGAGATCAAGATAAGTCTTTGACTCCACACAAAGTTTGTTCAATATGTGTTAAAGAACTGATGCAATGTTTCAAGGTAAAAAGCAGTCCTTACGTTATGGAATACCAATGGTTTGGCGAGAGCCCAAAAGACATAGTGGCGACTTTTATTTTTGTTATTGCAACGTACAAGGTTTCGATTTGAAAAATAAAAAAGATATTTCTTACCCTAACATTCAATTAACCATTCTCCCTATTCCTCATGGATCTGGAGTACCAATACACTCTCCACCAGATTCTTTAGATGTTACTTAAGATGATCACAAGATATTAGCTCAGCAAGATTTTCGTGAAGAAGACAGTCATTGCTACGATCCTGGCACAACCGATCCAATTCCATTCCCATATTCTAAACTGAACAATTTAGTTAGAGACCCAGGTCTTCCTAAAGACTCGGCAGAAGTTTTAGGATTTAGATTGAAATATAAAAATGTGTTTGCGCTTATTTATAACCCCCCAAAAGATAGTCTCTAAAAGTCAGGTAAATTTTCCATAAAATTATTACTTTTTAAAAGTTATGTTATTGTTTCATTTACCAAATAAATACAAAAAAACCAAAAAATACCAAAATACCAAAAAAAAACCAAATAATAAAAACCAAAAAATACCAAATAAAAATAAAAACCAAAAAATACCAAAATACCAAAAAAAAACCAAATAAATTGTTGTATTTTAGAACTAATTAATAAATAGTAATATGCCTGAACTTTCTACTTGCTGTATTGGTAAAGCATTAATTAAACAGTGCTATCTTATCAAGTTTAACAAGTCTAAAAAAAGTAAATGTTACCAAGAACTGTCTACACTGAACCGAGAGCTTCTATCTTTGAGAAGCAAAGTAAATCCAATCGATTTTATTTGTAACTATCACGAGAAAATTTACATGTTGAGGTATGAGAATGAACATCGCAGGTATTGTTGCAATCCCTTGAACAAGCACGCAAAAATAGTAAAAAGTAAGTTTCAATATTAATACCTTAATTTAATACAAACACCTTATTCATACAAAAAGTAATGTATTATTTACTAAGTAAATGTAAAACAATATATAACAATTATTACCGTTACTTATTAGATTCTCTTAGAGTTATCAGTCTTTATATGCTAAAGATTTTGGTTTAATACCTGGTCAAAAAATTTGCACTAGTTGCAGAAATGCTCTGAATTGCAAACCTAATGAAAAAGGAAATGAACTCCAAGGAAAAGAAATTTATGTTGACAACAATACATTAAAAGAAGATTTTAATTTAAGAATTGCAAGTTTTGGTTGCTCACCTCTTAAACTTGTTTCAAAATGCATATGGAAAAATGCATATGGAAAGCGTAAAATTGATAACGTAAGAGCTCATACACAAAAGGCTGTTGCCAGTGTAGAAATAAATATAGCTGCACTTGGTGGAATTGAATCACCCTCAAAAATATTTTTGAAAAAAACAAACACAGATTTAGACAATATTATGACTCAAATTCAGTCAAAATTGAAAAAACATTGTCAAATTCTGAAAAAATCACACTTCTTACATTCACCCAGGACAGTTAGTCAATAGAGAAAACTCAGTATTTTTTGACTCCAAAAAGATCTGGAGTACAATCCGGAAAATTAAGAAAAAAAAGTGGAATGCTATCAAAACCTTATCCAAAACCAGGTAGAAAACTTAGTGAAGATGTAATTACAGAGGTTGTTCATTTCTATACATGCGATGAATATTTAAGGGTTTATCCAGGAAAGAAAGAGTTTGTTTCAGTTAAAGTAGATAGTATAAATCAACACTTAAAAACGAGTTCTACTAGTCAATATGAAAGAGCTGCATATTGAGTTTAAAAAGAAATATAATTATTTTAAAGTTATATTTTCAAAATTTTGTGAGCTAAGGCCCAAGTGGTGCATTCCTGTGGGTGCTTTGGGTCTGCATTCAGTTAGTGTTTGCCAGTACCATCAAAATGTAAAGCTCATCGTACAGAAAATTCCTGGAATTACTGATTACAAAATCTTATTGAAATTAATGGTTTCTAACATTGAAAATAGAGATTGTATGCTGCATAGTTGTGATATATGTCATGCTAAAGAGGTTTTGATAGATTACTTTGACGAAGTGAAGTTAATTTTTTTTAATAGCAAAAATCAAATTACTGTGTACTTTAGTACAAGGAACTTTACCTTTAGATGAATTTATTAAAATGGTTTACGAACGATTAGATAATTTACGAGAGCATCATTTTATATCAGTCTTTTAAAGTTGGATCAGTAATTTCTCCTAGATGGCCTATCGTCCCTGTTGTGCTCACACAAGGCACCTTATATTACTCGCCACAATCAATGCAGATAACTCTGTTTTAATTGAT